CAGGAGGGTGGGACTGCAGCAGGGCCTAGGGTCTGCAGTAATGCTCCTCTTGGAAGAAAAGCCAAACCCACCAGGAAGAAGTTTTATTTTTACACACCCATTATTTCTGTCACTGGGATTTGCTGTTGCCTTTAGTTTTTCTGTAATAAACAAGCAGTTGCCATGGGAACCTTGCTATTAGTTAAGGCACAAATGTATTGTCGGGGAGAACAGCAGTAATATTTCTTGTGCTGGGGAGCAGCTCTGCTCCATGTGGTGGAATGTGGGTGGGTTTCTGCACCAGGTCAGGCAGGCTGGGACTGTCAGGGGGTGGGGAGCAATAAGCAGCAGGGTTTTCCTTCCTCTGAACTCTGAGTTCTGCAGAAAAAAATGTGAAGCAACTGGGTGGAAAAAAGAAGTGTGATCCCTGAGGTATTACACTGTTTGGCATGAGGGCTGCCTGCTGCTCTGCTCGGTCTCTCGTGGTTTCTCCCATTGCGATGTGCTCCAGTCCCAATGCCAAGTGATGCGACGTGCTGGGCTTGGCTCTGTCGGAGGCACAGGAGCAGCAGCTGGGCAGGGGGATGGAGTGAGTTCGTCCGGTGCCTGTGTGCTTGAGGCCAAATCCCCGAGTGATGGAGTAGAGAGGCGTGTGCTGGGACAGGTTAAGTGCTTTGCAGGCCACCAAGAAGTCATCCAACTTCTCTATGAGTTTGAGCAGCACGTGTGCTGCTTCTGAAGGGGAGAGTAGATGGGTCAGGTCCCCTCCTCCTGTTGGGACATGTCCCTGCAGCTGGGGGCAGCGCTGGGCGTGATCTAGTGTGGGAGCTCCACTTGGTGAGACACTTGAGTTGTAATAAAAATCTTCATCTCTGACCCTCCCACCTGTGGTGACCAGGAGCCGTCAGCCTCCCCGCTCTCCAGAGCTTGTGTTTGCAAAGGCTGATGGTGCGGGTGCTGCAGGGGAGCTGTGTGCTCAAGGGCTCGTGCTCCGCTCGCTCATCCGGTGCATCGTGGCTGCGCTGGGCGTTTGCGGCTGTTGAAAGCTGTTGCTGCAGGGTGCCCACGTATGTTTTCTGTATTTTTGACAGCTGCAAGAAGTGGCAAGCTTTGTGTGTGAGCTCTGCCCTGCGATGGGCAGGGGAAGGGAGTGTGGCTGGCTCTTCCCATCACAGGCGTGCCCGTGCCAAATGCACACGTTTAATGTTAGAGCTCAAGCCCAGCCAAGTGCTCCTTTCCCCTTGGCCTCGGCACAGCCTCCCCACATCCTCTGCTGATGGGGTTAAGTGCAGCCCAGCAGCCCTCCACCGTTCCCTGAGGCTCTCTGTGCCGCAAGGCTCCAATACCTCTGGCTTGGAGGTTGAACCATGTGTTGGAGGGATCGCGGGCTCCCACAGCAACCATGGGGGTTCAGGCCCTCGATCAGTGACCCATTCCCTGTGGGAATACTGCTTTTCTTGCAAGTTTTATCTCGGCTTTTTTTTTTTTATGAGCTGCTTTTCAGTCAGCTGGAGATGGAGAGGGATAAATCTGTTATGTTCTCTGAAAGTACAGCCATCCAGCGACTCTTATTGATATATCAGCAACTGCTGGAACACCAGATTTATGATTTCTGGGCTCGGAAAAGTGCCAGCAGAAGGTCTGGGAGCTTTGGGAGAAAAATTACCTTAAAGGGAAACATTGGTGCAATGGGTAAAATACACTCTTATTGGCAGCAGAGGAAATGAGAGCAGACAGGGCTGCTCCTGCGGTGTGAGTGCCTTCATGTCATTAATATTTTCCTCTTCTTGTGCTGGTCCTCTCTGAACTGCTGAATGGCAGAAGGGAAGGCAGCTAAAGTCACCTCCACTGATTCACTGGGGCCCTCTCCAAATAAATCCTGACTTCCAGCTTTTTTAAAGGATTCATGGAGGAAGCAGCTGTTCTAAAGTGATAGATTTTATGAATCCAGGAGGCTGAAAAAGGATGATGACCAAGTGGGACAGGAGTGCATTTGCTGAGAGAGTTGGGCAATGGGATGGTCAGGATGATTCTCACAGATGAGATTTGGATTTTCTAGGAAAGAGCCTGGTATGTATGGGTTGTTATGAACAGTATTTATATATAATCCCCCACCTCTCCCAGGGAGCTTTGGGGAAGTAGTGAAGCTGTCTTTAAGACAGCAAAGCCCAAAGCCAGACCTTTGCTTTGAGAACTCTTAGCCAGAAGTGCAGCCCCCCTGCTTGTAACAGGGCTTCGCCTGCCTGGCTCAGCTCCGCAGCCCCTTTCCCTGCAGGTGAGAAGTCCCATTTCTGATGGTGCTGGCAGGCAGGGAGCGGAAGGGCCAGCCCTGGGCATGCTGCGGGCACAGGAGGAGCCAGTGCCCTGGGGAAGGTGGTGCGGGCAGTGAGGAACTCTCTGCACAGCGCTTCCCAACAGCACAACGTGGGTGGGGAGCTGCCCGCCAGGGCAAGTGCAATAACACTGGCAGCCAGCTTTAATATCCTCAGAGATGTTAACTCCAGAAAAGTGCTATTTAAGGTATTAATTTTTTTTTTAATAAAATGAAATATTTCGTGTAGTACAGATCGCTGCCTGAATACAGGAGCGTCTGCACAGGTCCTTGGCAGAAGTGTTTGACAGCTTGTGCTCGCCTGTGCGAGGGGAGGGATGCCCGTCCTCCTGCTCTGGGCAGTGCTAAAGGGTTTGTAGCTCTGCAAACCACGTGTAGTGAATTTTAACGCTGATGGAGAGAGATGAACTGACAGCTCTCTTTGCTATCCCATGGTTGTCACCACCGCACCCACGTCCCTCCTGCACCCGGCAGCAGTGTGAGGCTGGGCACTACAAGTAACAGGGTGGGGGGAAAGGGGTTTGTTCAGCAGCAGAACAGGGAACTCGTTTCTCATATAAATGTGAGCTTATAAGTACGTACTGATGAATATGAAGAAATAGTTGTGGTGTCCTTTTTCTGCAGTAGAGGCTGTAGGTTGCAGTGTTGCCTACTCTCTGTCCCATACGAGCCAGTATTGTATTTTCCACCAGGAATTGTTTGAAATGGCTTCTGAGCTGCCAGGAGAGCTGGTATCTGCCTTGGTCAGATGGAGAAATGCTGTAGGTGCAATCCCTCAAACGAGAGACAGCTGTTTTCCCGTTACCTTCCTCCTCAGCCCCATCATTTCTGTTCTGAGATCAGATCATTACAAAAAAAACAGGAGATGGAAAAACACCTTTCTCATTTTACCCAGAGCAGCTGGCAGTCGAGTTATCGTTTACACTGGTATAAGCAGGAGAGGTACTTGCATAATTGCATGGAAAAGTGGAAACAACCTGCCAATTTAGGAAGTTGTGTCTGGCAAAATGGCTCCTTCAGCTCTTTTGGAAACTATGGAGGGTGGAAAGCAGCAGGATTAGGGCCAGGATTTGGAGCAGGGCAGGGGGAGGAAAAAAAATCAGCCTTGAAATGGAGGAGCAGTCTCATTGAGGAAGAGGAGCAACCCTTGCCTTTTAAGTCTGGGGAGCTTAGGAGTAACGTGGTTCTGGGCAGTGTACTGATAGGGATGAGTGTCTGCTGAACGGACGATGAGCTAATAAGGCTGGTTGTTCATGTAATCGCTGCAGGGTTTTTTATTTGATGTGCTTGGTATTTATCTGATGTCATAGATCCTGGAGCCTCCACAGAGGCCCTGCTGCACTTGAAATGCAGCTTGGAGGAAGCCAGCCCCAATCCTCACATTACTCAAACGGGGATGCTCTTATGGTACAGCCAGGACCCCTCCACCTGCAGCCGAGCAGAAACCAGCCTCATACCCAGCCCAGCCCTTACGCCGCTGCTTGGGAGGTGGCAGACAGCAGGAGGAGGGGGCTGTCTGGCATGCCGGCACGGGGGGCAGTGGGAGCAGAGCTCAGCTCTCAGACCAGCCACACCGCAGGGCTCTCGGCTTTGCGGCAGCGAGCTTTGGGCAGCAAAGCGCGACACAGGAGCAGTGTGGTCCCCATGGTCCTAGTCAGGTTTAGGACAGAACACTGGTGGTGTGTGCATCTGCTTCAGGTGCTGGCACCACTGGAGTGTGTATAGCGGAGTTATAAATCATCTGTAAAAAGTAAAACCACATCATGCTTGAGAGGGAAAGTGAACAGCTGTGGGAGAACTGCAGGTAGGGCTCCTTTTGGAGAAGGAGAATGTGATCAGCGAGTCAGCATTTGTTCATGTTTTATTTGGATCCATCTGGCATGCTCTTTGGTGAGTGTTATGAACATTGTGAATAACTGTCTCTCTCCTCCCCCCAGTCTTTTCTGCAGTGGCTTCTAGCGACAGTGAGAGCGACTCGGAGTGCAGTTCCTCCAGCCTGGATGATAAGCCTTTACCTGCGGGGTCAAAAGGCCCACAAGGCAGAAGGCACCGAGCAGGGCTGGGTGAGGAGTTGCTGTTCCTTGTGGCTGGAGAGTGGGAAGTGTAAAGCACTTGAATGTTTGGCTCTTGGTACTGTGGGTTTTGGCTCAGCCACTTGCCTGCCTTACACAGCTGCAGCCCACTGGCTTTAGCTGTGCCAGGTGTGGATTTGGTCCTTTCTCACCGGAACAGTAGCAATGGTCAAACTGGTGGTGGGTCGCTCCATTCCCTGCAGCCTTTCAGGGTCTGCCCTTGCAGCTGGGAGCTGCTCCCGGCTGCCGGGCAGCACATCTCTGGCCAGCTCCCTCACTCCTGACTTTGTAGCACTGGCATTGCTGGTGCCGTTTTAGGAGTGGGAACTGCTCCATTTTGACCCAGCTCCTGAGGGTGCCTGGCTGGGAGGGGGGAGGCTGCTGGTCTTAGGACTTGGCCCAGCATCTGTAACTGGTCCTCCCTCCCACAGCAGCATCTCTCTGTTGTGTCCCTGCAGCACCCATAGAGGAACCCAGCCAGTCTGTGGGCAGGGCACTGGGGAGCACCCACTCCCCTGCTCTCTCAGGGAGCCGCGGCAGCCTGGACAGCGAGCAGGGGGCTGCCCTCAGCGCCACAGAGGGCTGCCAGAGTGACCAGCCGGCAGACGGGCGTGACAGCAATGTTGGCAGCAGGGTCCATGGTAAGCTGAACCTCTTCTCTGGGCAGATCCATGCTTTTGGGGCTGACTTCCCTCGAAGCACAGCTTTCTCAGAGGCACACCTGGCAAAGCTGCGGCCTGGGATCACCTTTCTCTGCTGCTTTTCTCATGGCAGATGCTGTCACAGCATTACAGCTCACTCCTTCCCTCTTCCCTGAGTGCAGAGTCTATTCTGCAACATGAGTAATCGTCTGGGGTGGGAGCTGTCTACACCCACCTGCGAGAGCAGCTGTAGCCTGGGTCTGTCCCCCTGCAAGGGCCCGGTGGAGCTCCTATCTGCCCTGCAGAGGCAGCAGAACAGATTGAGCTTTTGCTGAAGCAAAGCAGAAGTCCAGCAGCTTTATGAAACTGAATAAAAATTTTCCTGATGTTAGATGGCTCTTAAAGCCAAGCAAGGCTCTTCTCAGAACTCTGCAGTGCAAAAAAAGACACTTTTTCCCCCTCAACAACCTTGGAACAATTAAGTGACTGTGAGAGCAGAGGCTGCTATCACATCTGATCTGGAGCAGCTGAAAGAGATGCAAATGTGTTCTCTGTGCAGTTCCCACTAATCTATTCAATAACCCCTTAAGTTATCGTTTAGCGCCGCTCCCTTCAGAGTGTTCCTACCACCCTGTGAACTGCCACTCCTTTTGTTCCTGAGCCTGTTTTGTGCTGTGCATGTTGAGGCGTAAATTGGATTAGAAAGAGCAGGTTTATCCTTTGGTGCAACATGGAGTCATAGTCCCCCTCCCTACGCTTCCCGCTAGAAATAGCCAGCATATTCTTTCTCTGCTTTTCCCTCCCTTCCCAAGTTTCAGGCATTTGCAGTTTTCTTTAATTTTAGTTTTCGCAAAGCAAATCAGATGGGTGATACTTCTGCTCTGTCCATGCTCTCTGGATTATAGTACGGCACCAGACTGGGCAGTTTATTTTAAGCCCCCGTTGACTGTGGCATTAGAGACAGCTGGTTCCCGTTGTCTGTTGGCTTTTATGTCTGCCGGAGTGGAGCAGCAGTTCGTTCTGCAGGATTGAAGTGGGTGGTTGTGGGTAGTGGGTGTGACCCCTTGGTGCTTTTTCTGCTGGTGCTACATGGCCATGCTGAAGTCTGGATGGATACACACCTGGACGGTGTGTTTGTATAGTGTTTAGCACTTTGGAGCTTTCCTGCCAGCTGTTTGAACTAACTGCTGGCTGGCCATGACAATGCAGACAATATCTCAGAGGCAGAAAATGCCTTTTTCAATGCTTTCCAGTGGGATCTCTCCTTACTAGGCAGGGGAGAGCTAAAAATGACAGACAGCTTGGAAATATGTTTTAAAAAATTAAAAAATTACAGTAATCTCATGAGCCCAGTTAAAATAGTCCCTGACATGTAGAGGGGATCTGGCTAAGAAGAAGGTTAAGCCAGGTTGGCTGACTAGAGAATATCTGTAAAGATCTTTATTATGTCTGGGGTCATTTATTTCCTAGCCTCCTTGCAGAAGGGGCCGCTTTGTTGAGACATGGTGCTTGCAGCAGTGAGTGGCTTGGTAGGAGGGCTCCATGGCCCCCAGAGCTGGGGGAGGGAGGCAGGGAGACAGCAGCGAGTATTTCTGCTTGAGTGTGCTGAGTGGGGAATGAAGCTGGTGGTGGTTGCAGTCGGCAGGCACAGGCTTGGGAACTGATGGAGAGTGGCAGCAGCCAGGGTTCTCTGTGTCATGTCATGTTGGGGAACGTCAGCCAAGCATCCTGCTGGACCAGGGAGCTGCTACGGGCTCGCAGGGAGTTAGGTGGCTCTATGGCTATGGCTCTGCGATGGCAGGAGGCAGCAGTACAGGCTACAGAGCAGCTGGCTTGTCTTTGAGCCTGTCCTGTGCTGGTGTTACCCCTTTCTGCAGTGTGGGTGCTGGCAAGGGCTGGTGTGGCAGCGTTAGAGTCTACCAAAGGTCTCTGCAAGGAGGCGAAGCTGGAACCTGAGCGTGTTGTGGGAGGCACACGATGTGTTTGCCATGGCTGTATGCTCTGTCCCAGAGTATGGGTCGTCTTCAGCACTTCAAGGTGAGGAGGAGAGAGGGAAAGTGAGTTTGGTTTCCCTCTGATCTGTTTGGGATGTGGTCTTGCCTCCATGCAGAGAGTGAGCAGCAGGGGTGAGCACGGTCGGCATTTGTTTACTCTGAGAGCACTTAACGTGCCCAGCTGGAGAGACGCTGCCACGATGTGATCTGTGCAGCGAACTATTGGCAATTACGATCCATTACGTATGAATTTAGTAGTCAGCATTATGCAGTGATATGACTTGTGTGGCCCCATGCTCTGTGCAGCTCTGTAGCAGGTAGTGTGCACAGATCAGACGTCCAGGAGGCTGCAACACTGAATGCCCCTGTGCTTTGCCAGCAGCCTGGCAAGAGCAGAAAATAAAGAAAAGAGCAAAACCAGTGCTGTAGTCCCTTAGGAGGTGTCCTGCTGTCCAGAGGGGCTCACATGAGCCTCAGGGCAGGTAGCAGTGCCTCTCGCCCTCTTTATTTAGATCAGAGCTTCATCTGTGAGAGGCTTTACGCAATGGGTCCCTCTGGATGCCACTGCTTGTAAAAAAGCAGAGGCCTCTCCTGCTGTTCATGTCTAGAGAGTGGTGGAGGTGATGGGTGCTGTATGTCACGACTGGCAAAACTCTTTGCTGCATCAGCCTGTCTATGGGACAGTCCCAGTGCTCTGCTCTGACCCAAAAGTAGAGCAAGGGGCAAACATCCTTTCTCATTTAAATTGCTGATCCTCAGTCGCAGACTGAGGACATTAAAGGGAGATTTTGCTATAGCTTTTCTGAAAGGCTCTGAAACTTTATAACACCGTGTTGAGAGCAATTTTTGCTTCATATTGGCACCTCAGGTGTTGTTCTACCGATGACTTTCTTTTCACTTCTTTTTCTCACCTCTGCTCTAATTCTGCTCTTAAGTGCAACCTTGGAGAGCACTTCAGCATCCTTAAATCCCAGGCCACAGCCAGAACAGGGAATTAGGGAGTGGTACTGCAAATGTGGCTGCTCTCTTAGTCCTTAGCTCTTTAAGCCTGAAGGCCAAGACGACAGCGTGGTTGTGCGGCCAAGTGAAAGCAAGGAGCTATTAAGAAGAGTTTGTAGGTTTCCAGTGTGTTGCTCCGTCTGGGGTTTGGTGAGGCAGATAATGAAGCCTGGGGTTTGTCATAAAATGACTCACTGTCAGAGCTGCATTGGGATTTAGGCAACCTTAGCCCATGAGCCAAAGTTGCAGAAGAGAGTGGTGAGTTGAGAGGCTGCCAATTTTTTTTTTTTTTTCTACCACCTGCTTTCAAACCCTTTCAAAAGCATAATTTCTGAGGGTCTTCTGAAGCTCCAGTTCCTGGAGATGCCCACTCTGATGTGATAGCTGCTAAGAAGGTCATGCGCTGGTTTTCCTGGGGAATGTTTTATCCTAAAGAGAATGAAATTTGCACATGGAAAAGAAGCACAATCTTTTGTTTTCCCCTTACTTGCCCCCAGCTAGGGAGGTGATTCACCTTGTTCTGGCTCTAGAGATGATATGTTAAGAGGTACCTCAGTTAAAAAAGAGCAAAATCCTCCCTATTGTTAATTATTACATTTTTATTAAAGAAAGGGAATATTAAACAGGATGAAACAGAGAAATCATCAGTATCTTACAGTGGTTTTGATTAGCCCATGGAAAGCTTTTAATGGAGATAACATCTTGGATCTTGGGCCTGGCTGCTGCAGGGGGTAGATTAAGAGCAAAATGCATCTCTCCTCAGATCAGCAGCAAGCTGTGCTTTGGTGGTTCCCAGTTAATCTAATCCCAGTTAATCTAATCCCACCAATCTCAGTGTCTTCTGAGGACCATGACTGAGGAACGGGTCAGTTCTGTTTGGTATTCTGTGGGTCACCTGAACAGCTTGCTGGCAGGAAATGGTGAGTGAGCTTGGCATGGGCTGTGGGGCTGGAGAAGGCTCTAATTTGTGCTTAAAAGAGGAGGTTTGGGAAACAGCCACAAGATAAGCTAATGAATGAATAGCATACGTCTGAGTGCAAATCACAATCTCCCCATCTCTGCTTGTTTGCTAATGTGTTGTCTAAATCATTAATACTTAAAGAGTAGTACAGCAGCTGGCAGTTAAACAGAACCATGTTAAACAGTGGTGTTGCTGAGTCTGGGAGCTGAGATGATGATGGCAGCGCCTGGTGGGGTATAAGAAGTGTCGTGGCTTGCAATCGCAGGGTGAGACTGGTTGGAAGGACCTCCAGAGGTCAGCAGGTCCAGCCTGGACCCTTCTCCCAGGGTGCTGAAGCTGTAGCTTCTACATAGCTGCCTTCAGCTGATTGCTTTGTAGCTGTCATGCTGGGAGAGGCTGAGCAGAGCTGAGAAAAGGGCCTGGAGCTGAGAGAGATGGGCAGGAAATGCTGCTTCCAGCTCTCTTAATTTGGGGAGATTTATGCCCTGTCTTTCAGGAATTTACTGGATTTAGGAATGAGGTGGTGTCACTCTCTCTGTGGCTCAGTGCCTCCCCAGCTGGGGTAGGCATCAACTTTTGCTCATAAATATGCAAGCTGTTAATACATGAGACAGGCAGAGCCATTCTGCATTATTTTCATGGCAGGAAATTCTCAGGGCATCCTTGAAGTTAACAGCATTAACTTCTTTTTTTCCTTCCCTTCTGTTTCTCAGATGTCTGTTTGGCTCCCTGGGGGACAATGATAAGGTGGCATTTTGCTTCAGTGGGTCTAACTACTCCATTCCATGTAGGAAAAAAAATTGTCCTAACAGTAATGAGGCTCCAAATGGGATAGTAATTTCTTTAATGACTTTCTTCATGGCAGTCTTTGGGGAGTTGATTTTTGTTTTTCTGTGCTTGGTGGGAAAGTTGCTTAAATGTTTTCAGACCGCTCGCTTCCTCGTCCATGTGAGCTACAGCCAAACAGCGTAGTCTTCCAGGGCTGGCTTTGCAGTGGGGTGAAATAAGTGGGCAGCTGTGCAAGGGAGCTGTGCTCACAACCCTTGCTTTTCCTCCCTCTGCCTTCGGCTTCTGCCTGCACTGCCCCTGCACTGAGGGCACAAGATAGGAAGAAAGAGGGGGTCAAATGTGGAGGACACGCTCTCACCCACACCCAGCCTCTCCCCTCCAAACCTGTGCCTCTGCACTGGCTGCCCCATCAATCTTTGGGCGCTGCTGTTTGCCTCCCTTTGCTCAAAGCTTGCTTCCACTGCCATGGGATTGACTTTTCCGGATGCCAGGGAGGATGAGTTGTCCCTCTTCCACAAAGTGAAAAAATTGAATTGTGCCTTCATGATTGAGAAGCTTTGAGCTGTCTCTGCCTCCTCGTATTGGTACTGCAGAGCACCAAATGGTCCTGCTGGGTGGACATGGAAATGATTCAAGGTTTGCAGCACTAGGAAATGATTCAAGGTTTGCATTCTAGATATAATGCATTTGTAAATATGAACCTCAGAAGAAGCATATGCCCCCTTCCATGTTTTAAGGAATTAAAGTATTTTTGTCCTCAAGTGGTGCAAGCAAAACATTTTCAGCTCTTTTACGTCTGCCTTGAAGTTAAGTGAATAAAAGGTTGAGTACCTACAAAATAAATTACTTTCACTATTTTTGTAATTCTTTATGGAGTTTTAAATTGAAGACTTTTTCCTTGAAAATAGAGGAATGACAAAGACTCATTCTCTTGCCTCTTTCACTCAATATATCTGGAAACAAGTCTGCTGCTGAAGCTGAAACTCCTATTTTTGTGCCTTCTTTCACATTGCAGAGGTCTGTGCTTTGGTCTTTGATCAAACAGCCTGTCTGGCCTCCTGCCCCCACATCCTTAGACTTATTCTCTGCCCTTTGCAATACGTTTACTCCTCGCGCTTCCAACCTTCTATTCAGCATTTTGCACAAAGCACTGAGGGCAATAGTTGATGTCGTCTTTCAAAACAAAGCATAAAGGAAAGAGCATGGAAAGTCAGTAATATAGAAGTTAAAAGTCTGGATTTTGGAGTCTCTGTAAACACATTGAGAGGTTTTATGGCTCGGGAGGTTATCTTTCAACTGGGACATCAACCAGTAGCTGGTGGGAGGAATTTGCAGGACTCCCCGTACCTTGAACATTTCACATGAATGCAGTGACTGGAAACATCCCTTGTCCTTTCTAATTTGTGTTCCCTTCAGTTCAGAAAATGGGGAGAGAAGTTAGTACCGACCCACCGCTGCCTTAGAGCACTCCACACCGCCAGCCCTACATTTTACCCCGTGCACTGGAAGTAGCGTGTCCCAGCAGACCCTGAGTTTCAGCAGGGCCTGCTGAAGTCATTAGCTCAGGTTCGTTTAGTTGACATGAGCCAGAGTGCCCTCTGCAGCGAAGCACTGCTGTCCTGCACCCATCCCCAGCCACAGGCAAGGACTGCATTCTGCCGTGGCTCCTGTCCATGGCCGAGGCACATGGAGGGCAGGAGAGTCATGTGGAGGACCTGCTCTGTGGCACATGGGTGCTCTTTGGAAACCTCTGAGAGCTGAGGCTTGGCTTTCTGTCTGACCTGGTCCTTTGAGGGAAGCATGTACCAGAGGACCAGTTCTAGCAGTACAACTCCTTCTTTCTCCTTCTTTCCC